GCTAAGACAGAAGCAGGTGCAGGAAAGGAGTTTCTTGGTGTTCTAGTTTACGGGGAAAAGTTAACAAGATTACCCACAGTAGAAGAGAGTGAGAGGAAAGTACACAGTGCTCTAAGCTGAGGTTGCTCAGGAATAATCCTCACCTCTGGAAACTGTTTAATCTTCAAGCCAAGGAGCAGACGTGGCCCTCTATAGACTAGCTCTAATCACAGCCTGAAGCTCAGCAGGTCATCATTCAGCATCTGGACATTTTTCATGTTCTCCACCTTTTGACATCAGTTAATTGATTCACAGTCACATTTCTATTACTGCTCTAGAGGTGAATGCCACCTAACAGTCTGCAGGTGTTGTCATGACAGCTGATGTCAAGCATATGAAGTGTACTGGAAAACGATCTCTCTGAAATACACGGGCATTGATCCAAATCTACCAACCGAACCTCACAGTTCAACACTGCGGAGGCTGTGAAGAAAGCTGATTATACGTGAGCACTTTAAAAGCACTTCAGCACGATGCGTACACTTCTCTCGTCCCCTATAGAAGATTTTATTGTCACTTTTCATTTTAGATATTATCCATCCTCATCAGTTCATTCTCTTAGCCACTGCTTTACCATGACTGTGAGACCAGCATCAAAAGCTGATCTAGCAACAAATATTTGTGCCTCCTTTTAAAAAATCCCATCTCTGAGAAGAAGTGTAATCACCATGGTTATTTCCCCACATCTGTGATTTTTTTAAACCTTTGTTGTCCTTTTGTTCTCTGCCAAAAACAGAAGCTGGGCTCTTCTTTCTACACTAATCACAGCGATAATCACCATATACATTCACCAATTTCACCGATCTGGTAGGAAATTCATCAAATCACCCACTCCTGTGAATACAAGCTTACAGTCTTACAAACTTTCTTCATGTGCAAGGCTGCTACGCAAGGTCAAGCTCACATGTTGAGAGATACAATGGTGGAATTGTGCTGAGGAGAACAAAAGAGAGGCAATAGAGATAAAAACATAGAGCGTTAGGTAATCTGTGTCTGACGTAATCATGACTTCTTTCTGCTTGAAATGTGAAAGAAATAAGTTCTGTTATTTTCAGCTTTGAGCGCCTGCCAATGCCCTAACATTATGGTTTTCTTTCTGTGGTTGTTTTCTGTATTACTGAGAAATCAGAGGTATGTGAATATTTAACAGTGTGATAAAAACAGTATTGTTCAGATAGCTCAAATAGACGTACAATGTTTTAAGTAATATCCTTATTGGCCTTTAGACCAAACGGTAGATGTGAATAGTTCTTCAGGCTATGGTCAGATACTGGTTGGCCTATTTCAAAAACATCTTGTGTTTATCAGGAAAAGAATCCCCTAAAGGTTTAATGAGGCAAATGTCATAGTGAGTTTAATGAGACAGATTTGCCTGAGGTGTGGAAACTGATGTGCAAAATGCTTCACCTTA